ATTACAGTTGTACTACAAGGACTTCTGACATCTTTTGCATGAGAAAATTCTCAGCAGGGTGCCCCCTTTTGTAAGGCTTGCTAATGCTAGTGGGTATAGATAAATCGGGCCTCTAATTTAGGAGTTGTGATAGTTAGAAGGTAATTTATTTTTCTGCCCTTCGGAGATTTTGTTAGGTTTAGTTGAAAAATCAGTGCCAGGTAGTTCTAGAAAAGCCTTGTGATAGTTTTCTGTTGTTAGGTTAGTTGGACTGAAAACTTTCACAGTTTTACAGTACTGTTTTACAGTAAACTTTTTTATGAGTGGGAGTGCAGTAACACTAAAATGTATAATACATAAGCCAGTAACGTTGTTTATTATCATTATCTGGTATTACGGACTTTATAGTTACATATAGTACATAATAGCTAATGATAATAAACCATATTTTATACTATTACACTGAACTTTTTGTATTCTTTTTACATAAATATCAACACAAACGGTGGGGGATTTAGCTTAGTGGTTCAAGCACTTGTTTGGTAAGTGCAAGGTCATGAGTTCAATCCCAGGTACCATTAAAAAAAAAATCAACACAAATGTGTGAATAATTTATTGTACTCCAATGTTACAGCTTTAATACTTTTGCGAGGCTAATGACTATGCTGTATTACTAATTCAACAAAAGTTCTTCAAGAGATGCATAATGATGACAGTCCTGACAGCCTTTCTTGTCCGACTCCTTGGGAATGCTCATGTAGCCCATGCCTAATTTGATACTGGCTTGGCAGTGCTGATTAGATTTTTCCATCTCAGATGCCATCGTATTAGTGGTATGAGGAACTAAAAAGGCAAGAGGAGACTCAGTGATGATGCTGTCAGTGATTCTAGAAGTGGGAAGAAAATGAGCCTTGCAAAGCATAAAGGACAAGGTGGCCTGGCAAAATCCAGTACATAGCACTTTATGTTTTCAAGCCATGTCAGTGTGTGTGGTAAATGTGACTTATGAAAGAAAAGGAAATTGGATCAAGTTATATACTAGTGTCATTACTTACTGGCTTTTGTGCAAGATCAAGTGCATATTATGCACTAATTTTTTTTTTTTTTGAGATGGGGTCTTACTATGTGGTTTTAGGCTGACCTTGAACTCACTGTGTAGCCCAGGCTACCCTCTTGCCCCAGTATCCACAATGCTGGGATTACAAGCTTGTGCTACCTTGCCTGGCTCTTAAGGGCATTCTTACAGGGTAAGAATTGTTAAACCTGGGTTAATGCTTAACAAGGGCTTCGGTAGGTAGGCTTTCTTACACTCTGTAGTGTACACACAGAAGCTGCTTTATATGAGGTAGGAATAATCAGCCAAAGATCCAGCTCCAGATGCTGTGTTCTTACTCAATTTCAATATTCCACTGAGACAAATGCAGATCCCTGAAGGCATACGTGTTCTGAGTTAGAACTGGGATAGTATTGCTTCTGATATCACTTTGACCTAAGGAAAGGATCTTCCTTCAACTGCTGCTAAGTATAGCTAACTCAGTGAAAAGCTTTATTTGCAGATATTCTGCCAATGAGGTCTTATTTTTCTGGTTATCTGTAATTTTCTAGAGTGTTCTTACAGGACTTAGCATAAATGTAGTCATTTAAGTATTAATATCTCATCTGTTTTTCTCCTAAGCTGCAGTTTTCCAGGGTAGAAACAGTTTGTTTTGTTCACTGTATTTCTGATAGCTAGCATATAGGTACTTAAATATGATTCACATTCTTTCACATTATCTGTGATCTGGGTCCCATAAAATTTGAACAGCTGTGTGCCAGGTTGGCTTGCTCATAATGGGTACGCCACATCCCATAAGCGAGCACCTCAAGAGAGCAAGACAAGTGCATGGCATTTTTATGACCTAGTTTTGGAAATCATGCAATGTTTCTATCATCATACTATATTGGTCAAAGTAATCTCCAGGTTCTACCCAAGTTCAAGGTGAGAGAATATGGACTTCTCCGCTTGAGAAAAGTATAATAGATTATAAAGCTAGCTCATCAAGTAGGAAAGCTGGTACTGGTTGTTTTTGAAAAAGAGTTTACAGTTTTCATATTTAGGAAAAGTTTTGGCTACTAAGGTATATTTTCTGTCTACTTCTAATCACGTGTTGAGACTGTGATTATATGTATTTTTTTTGATCTCACGGATTCTGACTATTCAGTTTCTGATTCTCTCTGCTTCACTTTAGATAGTTTGTATTGCTATCTTCAAGACCAGTTATATTTTGTCCTCTCAAAACAGTCTCTATTATTAAGCCCATGTAATGAATTTGCTTCAGTTCTCTCCTTAGGTTCATTTTTTCCCCCTTTATAATCCTTGAGCATGTTCTTAGTAACTATTTTAACTATGAACCCATCTGCTAATCCTGTTATTCCTGACATTGTTGGAGTCTGCTTATATTGACTCCCCTCACCCTAATTATAGGTTTGGTTTGGTTTTGGTACTGGGGATGGAACTTATGACCTTGCTCTTGCCAGTGCTTATGTCACTGAGCTGAATCCCTGGCCCTTTTTTTGTTTGTCTAGCAAGTTTTTATTGCATGCTAAGACCCCATGAATGCTATATTGCGGAGTATCTGGATTTTGTTTTCTTTAAATAATACTGAAAGTTCTGTGGGCAAATAATTACTTGCTAACTAGCTTTATATTTTCAAAATGTTCTTTTAAGCTTTGTTAAGGCAAGTTTGGGAAAGCTTTTGCTGTAAGGCTGCTAAGGGATGATTCTTGAGAACTCTATTGAGTGCCCTTGGTGTTCTAGACGGTGGGAACCAGCCTTGTACTAGCTCTGGGAATTGTTCAGCTTGCGATTTCAGCTTGCAGTATCTTTTTTTTTTGTCTGGCCTTAAATGGAGTTTCACCTTCATGTGTAGCTTTAATGGTCAGTGATTAAAGGGACCTATGTACATATTTCTGGAGGTCTTCTTTGAGCTGTAAATTCCAGCTACCTCAGTTTTCCAAAATCCCTATTCAGTCTACTCAATTCATCAGGACTGCACTGGCCTGGAAAGTGCTTCCAGGCAGTAAGCTAGGCTGAACACAGGGTTTACCTCACTTGTTTCTGTTTTCTCAGGAAACACAGATTACTATTATTCATAGTCCACAGTTTTAAAACCTTTTTTTTTTAAATTGGATTTTTTTTTCCACTGAAGCATTTTATTTATATGTTTTACATCTCTAGAAAAAGAATCCCAGGGTTTTCCCTCCTGTGTGTTTTTGTCGTGCTTCTTAGTGGTCCATGATGCCAGCTGAGGTGGTCAATACAATGAAACCAAACTGACGGGACGGGAGCAGATTATTCTGCCATTTTTCCAGGTCTTTCAGTTGAACATCAAACCTGGGGCTGATCACACCACACTTATTTAACCTGCCTGTGAGGTTCACAACAATTTTTCCAGCCCTGTGATCATCAATAATTTCAAATTCGCCAATGTAACCATGCTTCATCATCAGTTAGAAACCGGACGATGACTTTGAAGCACGGCCTAATAAGGATCTGGCATTTGCCTCTCAGCCAGGACATTCATGCGCACCATTATGGTGGCACTGTTTTGATTTTTTTTTTCTCCTTTAAATTAAAATAAAAATGTATCTTTGCAAGAGGCGGAGGCAGGAGGATTGCTGTGAGTTCAAGGCCATCCTGAACTGCATAGGGAAACTGTGTTTCAAAAAGACCCCCTAAATAAATGAATTAACAAATGAAAATTGTCTTTGATCTAGTTTTCTAGCTAGTTGTATTGGTAGAAGGAAAAGTTCCCTACTAGTACTACACGATTTTGAAATACAAGTTTTTACATACAGGATTTCCTTCTTTTAACCACACAGCTTAGTTTCCAAATATAAAAATCAAATGAAGTCAGCTTCATTTGGGTTCGAGTTTCATCTTACTTCCAATGTGCTATATCAATATTGACAAATCCCACATCTTCTTTGGCTGTTATAGCCAAACTGAACTGAATACAGCTCTACTTCTCAGGCATTCCAAAACAAGCAAATAAAAAGAAATTACAGTAAATAAGGATGAGGCTACAGTCATAGTGGACCAAGCTGACTTTTCAAATCTCTCTTGCTCACTTTCCCTTCTACACTCCAGTGTAAAAAGGCTTGAGAGCCAAGTGTGGCAGACTGGTGTTGCTTCACTGTTCCTCCTGTTACTCAGACAGCTTCTCTGGAGTGCTTTCTTTCTGTGTGCCAGGAGCTGTGTGACTCTTTCATGTGAATTCAGTAAGTTTTCGTAACTGCCCAATGGGTTAAAACTTTGTTTTTATTTTATTTTTTGTCTTTTTCCTTTTTATCGGCACCAGGGATCGAACTCACGACTGCCTGCTTCCAAGGCAGGTGCTTATGCCGCTGAGCTAAACTTCTAGCCCCCTCAATGGGTTAAAACTTTTATTACCACCATCTGAGAATAAGACTTGTACATAACTAAGGAATGGCAATGGCAAAACTAGCATTGATGTAAACCCTGGAGCCATGCTCTTAGCCATTATGTGACTGTATGAAAACTACTGAAAATAAATCACCTGTTACTGGTATAGAATCATTAAGCTGGGCATAGCGCACACCTTTATTTCCAGCTACTAGAAGACTGAGGGAAGAGACTTAGCTTGAGCATAGGAGTTTGAGACCAGCCTAGGCAACTTGAGACCCTGTCTCTTAAACAAAACAAAACATTATCCTTTAAATCTAAAGCACATCATTTCTGGACTCCCTTTAACAAATCATGTTTGTTTAGTCAGCTTGATTTTTATCAGAAAGCACAAACACTGTGCTATAGTTGTAATAGGTGAATCCTTAGAAAAATATTATCAGGACAGCAATAAATGGTGGAAAATGATGTCCAGCACAAACATCTCAGAGGAAGAATAGGTTGTAAGTGGAGCCCAGAGTCCAGGGTGGTTTTGTCACTGGTATTTATTGAATCTTTTGTCTGGCATCTCATTTAATATTATAGATTATCTTATTCTTTTTCTCTCTTTTCTCAGACACATTTAATTGAACCGAGCACCAAAATGCTAACGCTCCTTCCTCGAGAGAGAACACCTACTGTTTCTTTGACTCAAAGAATTTCGTCTGCAGGCAAACAGACCAGCATTGCTTCCTTCTTCACCTTATGGCCAGGTACGGTGACCCACTTGGGAGTACTTCATTGTCCAGGGAGAAAAAAGGAGTGTGTTCATTTCATGTTGGAACACTTATGAGTGAAACCATAGTATTGTTAAACTTAGCTGACATATTGTGTTATAAAAACACAGGTCATTGCTTTTTGGAAAGCAATATACACATGATTTACAAACATAGTTTTCTAGTTCTGTTTTACTCAGTCTAATACTAAATATTTGTATTTGCCGAGGGAGCAGTATCAGAAGAGGCTAGAATTTACACAGCAGGGTTCCTGCCAGGTGGAGTGCATCGGGAGTCAGAGTTGGAGTGTTCCAACTCTGACTCAGGCTTGCATTGCATAAACCTTCCAAGTGCACTGTCCCTTCCCCAAACAAAACATAAACACTCTTTGCTTTACATAACAGGGGAGGAATTTTTTCAAAACACATTTCCTATTTACATATTCTAGTATATTTTATCATTTTTTAGGCAAAGTTGAAAACTCCCACAGAACAGAACAGTTTCTACAGTATAATTCTTATTGGAGAAAGAAAGAGAAAATCATTTTGCTTCTTGTAATTAGACCTTACTTGATTTATGTGGGGTGAGAGTCCCATGTCATTCATCCTTAACAGGATCTATTCTACGCCTGACAAAATGGACAGGCTAGACGTTAGTATTGTTTTTGAAATTACTGTCTTTTCTGGTTGCCTTGACATCCTAAGTATATATTCACTCGCTTTTTTATGAAATGTTTCAGTAGTTGGGAACCTGTGTTGTTCTTACTATCACCAGAAGGTTTCAGATTTGTATAGTTAATGTGACTTTTGAGACCTTACAAAACTAGTGTGTGTTGAGCATTTTTTTTTAAAGGAAAGTATTCAGAGCTACATATTTGGCCAGGAAACTATTTAGTAGAAACTGTAGTAAATAAAAAAGCAAAACTGATATACCTCGTGTTAAGCCACATACGTGAAAACTAAGCTGGAAAAGTAGGCTGTGGTCTGATGGCATGCCATGTTTGACTTTATGAGGTAAAGGTCATGGGAAGCTTCCATATACAGTATTTCATTAGGGTAATATAAGATCTTATTTTAGAAAAAACATTCAGGAAAGACTAATGAGATTGAAAGGAACATCAGCTACAAAGTTATCTGAAGAACCTTAAATAATCCTGCCCTAGGTACTAATATTAGCTGGTATTGATTTTAGAAAAAGCCAGCTATTTTCCTACATTGTAATATTTGTCCACTCCTGTTTTACTAGGAATGAAAGATGTTGGTAACCAGAGAAGTATTTCATCTCATACACAAAGTCAAATCAACAAAGAGTCCGAGAAAGACACAACTCAGCTAGACAGTTTGATCCAGAACTCGGAGAATGACTGCATAGCATCCTCTCTGGCAACTTCAACCCCTGAAGACATCCAGGAAACTGGATTTTCTGATAAGTCCCACAAGACTTCTGGCCACCACAGTGTGAGAACCCCATTTCTGACCATGCCATCTTTGCCTCAACCTAATACCCTAGCCTGTGCTGAAGATAATAAAGCCCCACTGGCCTTTTCCTTCACCCAGAACTTGGAAAGTTCTTGTTTGCAGGACCAAAAGGAGGATTCTTCCAGGAAAAAGGAATGGTTTAATGGATCTGAGAACTATCAGGACATGGCGAGACATGTCAAACCACCTGTGGGTAAATGCCATCAGATCTTGGACAAAGCTAAATCAGAGAGGAAAGTATCTGCCAAAGAAAACAGGCGACCTTCTGTGTACCTCCAAACTTCCAGGGATTTTTGCAGTAGAGAAAACACAGAAGCAGTGAAACAAAACCCCTGTCTGGTTTCTGTGTTTTCCTGGCATAGTGAAAAGAATGACAAAGAATCCTGGAGTCAGCTTTTCACTGAAGACTCTCAGGGCCAACGAGTCATTGCACACAACATTAGAGCTCCTTTCCAAGATGTAAGCAACACTTGGCATCTGGGCCTAGGGTGTTTTTCAGCCAGGCCTCGGGCTGAATGCCAGGCTGAGCACAGTGAGCTAAATCAGCAGCCTGATTTGCTCCTTACCCAGGACTCTGAAGGTAATCAAGTTATCAAGCACCAATTTTGAATGTTTATATAAAGGTTTGGTTCTGAAAGCATCTTAAAAATGGTAGCATGTAAGAAAATACCTTTTAGGTACAGGTAGGGGTTGAGGTAGGCAGCATAGGATTAAGCTGTCATTATCAAGCCCTTTGTATAAATAAAGCAGGCAGCTGCCACTGATTGAGACAGTGTGACTGGAATTGTGCTTTTCTCTTAAGAAGGTGGCTGGTGAATTCCTTGACTGCGTCTGTGGTGAGTACTGTGGAAGCAGGGGATGAACTTACCCCTTCACTGAATAGTCCATCAGCCTGTGCAGAGCCCCCTGTGTCTTTTCAGATGCCTGGCTGGGTCCTTGCTTCTTTTCATCTCTGGCTGAAATCTTACCCACTTGCCTAAGCTTGCAATCATGATTTTTCATGCCCTTTTGGGAGATAAGGCAAATTCCCCAAGCCAGGTGTGTGGAGAGGAGACAGGGAGAATGGTAATAACCTCATTTATTTTTTGTCCTTTTATTTTGTGGTAACTGTACAGCATTTTAAACATATACTTTAATTAAATATCTCTCCCTTAAAGTTCCTGAACAGTAAAACAATCAGGATGTGACTGGTAATTTTTCCTTCACAAGGTGGAAGAGAACTTATTTCCCCTTTCTGGGAGAAAAAAATCCCCTTTGTAAAACATGTTGATGTTTGTTAACGCTGGCTCTGGTGGTAATTAGAACATTACCAATTTTATTTTTAAAAAGCAACTTTTTAATAATATTTGCCATGGGTTCTAACCTGCACAGGAGTCTATCTGGCCTGTCTTCTATCCAAGGCATCATCCAATAGGTGCAGTTTCTCACATTGCAGGAATAGTGCCCTTGGCTTAAACAACCTCTCAGGTAGCAAACCTGCAAGTTATAAATAAGATGGAACTGCTTTTAAGAGTTTAGGGCTAAATCACTTCAGAAATGCCTGGGAAGTGTTTTCTTATTAAATGGCAGGACGTTATGAAGAAAGAGAAGCCAGAAGCCTGTTTAAGAAAGCTTATATACCTTAAATTAACAGGAATCCTCTATTCCTAAGGGATTCAGGGTGAGCACAACTCAGAAATGGACAAAGAAAATTACTCCAAATCCTTCATTTAATGCCAAGTAGTGTTTCAACCAAAACACACAGTATACATACCACAGAAACAGGGGCCCTGAGGGCATCTGAGTCATGCATGATGCAGTAGGTGCAAACCTTGGCCCAACCCAAAAGAGAAGTCAGTCCAGGGCCTGGAAGAAGGATGGTATGTTTTTCCCCTCCTTGTTTTTCTTTCCTACTGGACTTAAAAGTCCTGGAAGAAAAAGTTTTAATCAGTGGAACTGAGGAGGCGCCAAGGCCTTGGAGGGTAGATTTGGTTGTACAGTATTATAAAATATGCTTCAGAAAAAAACCACCTAGGCCTCTCAGTAGCAGCCCAAGTATTGGCTGGTCTAGTGGCCCAACCTCTCCAAGTAGACAGGGAAGGGTGATTACTGGGCACTGGTGTAGGTTTATGATGGAGCAGCATAAGATCTTCCTGCCTTGTGAACATGAATATGAACACAGCCCCTTTCCTAAAGCCCTGCAGTGTTACAAGGAAGCTGCTGAGAGTAACAGCTGGGCACAAAGTGTCTAGTGAGACAAGTTATGGGACCTAATGCAGTGAAGTCATTCATTCATTTAGGACCTATTTTTAACACAGAGGCAGGAGAATACAAGAAACATCTATCTTACCCCATAAACTAAGCAATCCTATACATTTACCTGTAACAAATGTCTCAGCTCAAACCACAGGCCTTAGCTTCTGCTCAGGTTTGAAGTATGGGAAGCACACAATCCAGCTCTTTTTTTTTTTCCCAAGCCCTAGCTTGTTAACAAGACTGTTGTAAAAGATTTCTAACTGAGAGGCAGAAATGCCTGCGGTGAGGAAGGCAGCTATTGAAGAAATTCCAGGAGTGTAAGACTGAGTGCAGGGTGCAATGCTATCAGTTTCCTTTTCTACTGATGTCTTCTTCCTTCAGAGCAAACTTCCTTCTTAAGACCTCAGAGATGAGCACAGCAGGATCTTCTTCCTTCATTAAACTTCGGGTCCTGGAGACAAAACAATAACTTGAATTGAGGAAGTACTTGCTCACACTCTGTGTCTGTGCACACACTCTTGCTTAATCTCCAGAGCAGTTTTTTTGAGACAGGTGTTAGGACAGTGTAGACCCTCTTACTGATAGATAATTGAAGCACAGAAAGATACGCAGTTTGCCCAGAGTCACTAGTCACTCACCAAGTAAATTAAGGTGAATCCAGACTTTCAAACCAAGATAGCTGGTTCCAGATCTCCTATCCAGAGTGTTTTACTACATCCTCCAATGGCTATGAAGTGTGGGCAAAGTAAAGGACTATCAACTTAGTTGGTCTCTAATGGCTAAGCTTGTTTCTACTTTCTGTGTCTATCTTTTCTTAGTAACAGTTTCTTGTAGGGTCTGCAGGGGAAGAGGCTAATGACTCTTGGCCATTCTGACCCTTATTCTAGGGAAATGGTACGCTGAAGATTCTCTACTACTGTCTACAGACTTTTTAAATAGAAGACCCAGAATCAGCAAAATATTCATATAGTAAACTATTGGGAACAAAATCAACTCCAAATTGGGGTAGAACAAATCACCTGATTTATCATATAAGTGGGTCCCAGGTTCATAGAAAATAATCGAAATTTTGAACCTACATACATCCTCACTATTTTGTGGTTGTTAGGCCAGTGGTAAATCTTACAACTTTCCATGATAAGACAGTCTGCTGTGCCATGCATGCCATAGGTTGGTTCTCTGTAACTGCTTTTTAGGCAATAAATGAGGGCTATGATTGATTATTAAACCTTGAAAGTAAAATCAAGGAATTGCCCCAGTGTATGAACATTTCTAAACTTTGCTCACTGGTCTAGTTACCATTTTTAGTCATTGTTCCAACTCCTCTATTATAAGGGAGAAAAGATCTCCCAGTACAAGTGGGAGGGAGGAGGGGCTTGGCAATAAGGGCCTTGGATACACAGTTTGGTTCAAGAGGCAAATAAGAGATGTCTGAGTTAATCTATAAAACATTGTTGCCGGAAGAAATACACTCAAGGCAGAGCAAAAGAAGCAGCAGTAGCTGAATTTGGGATTGCAAGGTCAGTAAGACTAACCTAGCTTGGGCCAGAGAAAGTATGCATGATTTACTTAAAGGACAACTGTGAGGAAGCAGGAAGTTGCTTGCCTTTGTCTTGCTTTCAAAGGATAGGAGGACCAAGAAGACAAAAAGGAATCACTGTACAATGTAATCTTCCCTTTAACTGGACCTTCATCAACTCTAGAGAGATCTTACCTCCAAGCCCTCAGAACAACTTTCCCTGCGTTAACAAATACATAGCTGCACCACTTAGATGCTGGCCATCAAAGCCTGGATCTCAGACTAAAATGCCCAGGGATCTGTATTTAAACAGGCTTCTCTGTGAGCCCCAAGAAAGCTGCTCAGACTACACTTGGAGAAACACTGCACGAGCTTTCCTACTAGATGAGTTTCTTGCTTCAGTTGCAGGCCTCCCCAAATTCCTTCACACTTTAATGTAAATGATTAAAGTTCTACTTTTTGGGGATTCTGCTTAAGATATATTCTTAACAAATCTGAGCTAATTCTGATGGGCAGCCAGGTTAGGGAACTAATGCATTTCAAAAGAGATGTCCTCAAATCTTTGAATTTGTAGGGTTTTACATTATGGACCACTTTATGAGATTCTCCTTCCACCAAAACCACCTAGAAACATAAGCTGGAATAGATGAGCCTTCTTGTAAAATTCCTACTAGTCTAACTTTTTGACTTGGGTGACTTAACCTAATAAATGTAAATGTAAAGTGTTGCTCAAACTGGGGGCGTAGGCTCCAGCAGGCACACAGCTGGCAAGCTCTGTGGACAAAGTAACATGGCTACTCATAGAATTTACTATCTAAGTTTGTTAGCTCATTGGCCATGGTGACTTAAATCACCAGAGCTCCTTGGCAGTACTTACAGATCTTGGCTCTGTTTTATCCGGTGAAAGTCTTTCAGGATGCCCATCATGTCTGCAAAGCTGCTGGCCTTGGACAGAGATATGCAGTCATCCTCTTCTGACGAGCTGCAGGTACCTTTGTGTTCTGGTTTACAACATTCAGGGCTGGCAGAACAAAGCAGGGGGACTGATGGAAGCTCAGGGACCTCTACCTCAGTCTCCTCGGTGATGTCACTAATGACAAAGGAAGTTGTAGAGTGGAATGAGGATCCAAAACAAGGTAAGGGAGAAGAGACATTTGAACTTCCTGGAGATAAGAAATCTGGCGTTAATGAAGTCGAAGCTGAAAGAGAAAACAACAGGCATGGATGGACGTGTATACACGTCTACAGTATAGCAGTGATACCTTCTCCCTACAAGCACTGCCTACAGAACATACTCATTTCCTGGCCTGACAACACATTCTGGGGAGGCCCAGATGTGTCTGTAGCCAATGTGGTCCCTCTTTTATCTGTCCCAGTCAGGGGCTCATGAAGATGGAGAAGCATTGGGCTTTTCCAGTGTTTTAGGAAGGCCAAAGAAACCATCCCATAAAGCCTTTGGCTCCCAAAAGCTCTATTTCACAGTGGACTATGGAGTTACACCCCTGTTTTAAACAAGCAACAGTGATACAGGCAAGTCCTGCATTTGTCCTTTTCTCTGAGTTAGCATTTTTAACTCTTTGAATCTTGCCGTCTATGATCTAGAAATGTGAGCAAAACTAAAATTCTGAGATTCTCCTAATTCCCCAAGTTTTCATGGAATTTCTACAATTTCTAAGAAACATTCTGAGTTTACACGAACTACTTCTGTTTGTCTCTTGGATGGCAAAAAAAAAAAAGTAGCCAAGAAACAGAAAAGGAAATTTAAGTGCAATTAACCTCCATGTTAGAAAATTAAGAACACATTGATTTCAGAGAGAACACTAACATATTTATGCTCCACCAACTGATATGGCTTGGGAGCTATGACTTTGAGGTGTTGAGCACGATAAGAGATCCATCTGTTAGTTGCCTCTCTTCAAAGCAGGTTCTCAGCCATTTCTAATGATTCTCTCTTAATCTAAGCAGAAAGTTGGAGGACAGAGGTGATCTCCAAAAGAAATAACAAGGAAAGGAAAG